ATTCCCATTTTATTATGGGAGTCTCCCTATCTCCTGCAGCTCCACTGAGGAGTGTTAGTGCTGGCAAGAGTTTTCTACTTCTAACGCTGAATTAAAAAACCCACAAAAAATCACATCGCTCACCTGAAAATGCTGCTTGCTAATTTCTCCATGATATCTTCTAGGATGGGTATCCAAGGGGACTGTTAAGGAACAACAAAGCTGGAGAGAAATTCCTTTACCATCATGTTTGCTGGTCAGAGCCCTGTATTGATAAAAACCCAGCAGGCAAAAAGAAAATGAACCTCAATTCCAGGCTTTAGATCAAGTTTTTGCACTTGTTTCTGAATCAGGAACCTAATTTCCTGAAATAGGATGCAGAAATTAAATTGGAATATTTCAATTATTTCAATATGAAAATATTCAGTATTTCAGTATTAAATATTGTGCAGCCTGCACTAGTACAATACCAATCAATCATTAATCAATTAATCAAAGGCATTTTCTACGCGAAATGAAGAGAACAGATTTTGGGACCAGATGGCTGCCGTGACTATTCATACAGGCACCTGATAAAATAAAGCTGGGAACACAGCAGAGGCTGGAATTTCTTGGAGCACCCCTGCATGTRAGTGGCCTGTGAGTCAATGCCCAACAGCCAAGACAGCACAACACAGGGGGCTGTATTCAGTCTCTGTATGAAACTCAAAAWATAAGGTTCATCCTTCATTTTGGGGGTTATTAGGTTGGTATTTGAAGCTCAATTTACTTTAAAAAGCGATCAGTTTTTGATTTCTCCAGATGACAGTAATGCCAGATGCTCCAAAATTTCACAATTCCCTAAAGCCAAAACACCCAAACCTTCCAAGACTGTCCTGCCCAGGGAGCTCAGTGGAGCTGCATCAACCCAAATGTAGGAGACATTCCTTTACTTTTTCCCAATCCACACTATACCTCCATAAATTTTAGCTACCAAAAAAGTCAGTACCTTTTATGTACATAACACTTCTGTACATTGCAGATAAGCAAAGTTTAGGAAGCCAAAACATTTTCACTTCTGCAGTAAGCCTGAGTGCATTAAGTTTTGAGTTACATGCATCTAATGCTCAAAAGAACAAGAAAAAAAATCCCAAATATCACTTGCATAAAATAAAAACTTATAGAATCAAATCTTCAATTAATTGGTTTAATATTGAACCAAAATACTGCATTTTTTCCCCAGAACAGATGTTCTGCAGCACTACTTTTAATGAAGCTTGTTGAGAGGTTTTCAAGGCCAGGCTGCAAGGGGCTTGGAACAACCTGAGATAATGGAGAGTGTCCCTCCCATGGCAGGGGATGGGGTGGGCTTTAAGGTCCTTCCCAACCCAACCCAGTCTGGCATTCCATGATATATTAAAAAAGAATGCAGAAAATACCTTAAAACCTGAGTGTCTCTTACACTTTAGCTCCATCTTTCAGTTGGGTTGCAGCACTGAGCAGAAGAAACCTGTCAAGGGATTTCCCAGTTGTGTTTTCACCTGTGAGCAGTGTCAATTCCACAGAACCACCAAAGGATATCGAGATACTTCCCCTGCTGCACATTGGACAAGTTCCAGATCTCATCATTCAGGAAGGACACTGTGGCTCCCTTAAGGAACAGGGAATGGCTGTCTGGAGGATCCAGCTGAAGCAAATTGAAGAAAAATGTTAATTAGTTGCATTTTCCTGTCCAAAAATAAAGATTAAATGGTCATTTTAGAGAGATGGTTAAACCAAACAGAAAACCACCCCTTGCCCAYGGTAAAACTGAGGAAACTTGCAACACTGACAGGTTGAAATGATAGTTCTATGTATTTCTGTATTCCATGGGACAAACTGCTCTGTGACCCAGGCATCTTTACCTGCAGGTTCTTTTCCATTGTTATCCAGCGTCCCCCAACTCCGAGCAGAGTGATGATGTCATGCTTGTGAGGCAGCATCTGGGATTTGGAAGTGGGTTCATCTTCAGCACTGTATAACCTCACTGGGGAGAGAGAATAACGTTCTTTGAGCTCAGAAGAAAATGTAGAAAATTCAATATGCATTTATTTCCACACATCTCAGTGGAACTCTCAATTCTTCGGTTATTTCAGCTAAAAACTGTTGAAAAYTCTGAATTTATTATTTTATTTATACTCTGAATATTTTATAAGTGTTATTCAGAGTAATATTTTACAATAACTCTGAAGTTACCATTCAGAGTAATATTTTCTTTATATTTATAATACAGAGTAATAATATAGACTAGTAATATAACCTATGCTATATAGTATATAACATTGTAGCATAAGTAATATATATACATAATATGGTATATATAATATATAAAATGTATAAAATATATATAGTGTAAACTATATATAAAAGTGTATAATATATACACTACAATATATAATACACGATAAAATGTAGTATATATAATATAAAATAACATATAACTTAAAGATATAAATTTAATAYATTGAAATATATTTAATATATAAAATAAAATTTAATATATATTTATATTCTACTATATATTCACATACCATTATATATTTATACACTATTATATATAAATATATAGTGAAAATATGTTATCATATATAAAATATATACCAATAGTAATAAATATATAATACATAGTATAATAATATGTAGTAATATTTTATTTATATATATTTTATTTACATTACTCTGACTGGTAACTTCAGAGTTTTCAATTATTAGAATTGCTTTACAATAATGGTTGACWGTGCTGTTAATTAGGGTTAATTTTTGTATTCAAGCATAAACTATGAGATCACAGCTGTACTCTTTAAACCCATTTTTTAATTTTCAGTTTTAAATAGAGGAAAATTTCAGCCACTTTTAGCAGCTGATTAAGAGATGCTTGCACTAATGGGTGATCCAGGAGCTGCATGGAATAAAGCACATGGAATTCCCAGGGAAGCAGGAGCTGCTCAGGAGTACCTCCGGCATCCAGGACAATGTCCACGCCCAGCCCGCCCGTCTCCTCCAGGCAGCTCACGGCCACGTCAATCTTGCCGTGGGACACATCGATCACTCGGGCTGCAGAGCAGACAGGGGTAAAGCCAACACAAACCCAGCTGAGACACATGAAAATGGAGTTTAGATTCTCAAAAATGACAGCTTGGATGCTCAAGAATGAGAGTTCAGCTTCTGAGCAGCACACGCAATTTCTGGTCTCTGCAGGGACCACAAGCAAGTTTGCAGCTACACCCAAAAAACCCTGGCACAGCTTTTTTTTTTTTTTTAATTATTTTCAACACAGTGCAAAGTCAACACAAAAAGTATTAATACAGAAGTTCAACTCATGAATCTGCTGGCCCAAAAGGATAAAATGTGGCAATCTCAGAAATCCTTCTCTAAGTTCATTCTTTGCTATTCCTGTCCAAAACTACTAAGTCCTGTCTCTCTGGGTCATTAATTTATTAATTAATTAAATGTTTAGATGAAGGTATTTACATCTGCTCTTGAAATATTGCCAAACTGAAAGCCACCAACACATTTTCCTGTCATGTATCTATGATACCATATTTATGGTTGGTTATAAAGATAAACCACAGAGTCAGGAATGAGAAAATCATGGAATGGGTTGGGTTGGAAGGGACATTAAACCCCATCCCATCCCATCCCATCCCATCCCATCCCATCCCATCCCATCCCTGCCATGGCAGGGACACCTCCCACTGTCCCAGGCTGCTCCCAGCCCCAATGTCCAGCCTGGTCTTGGGCACTCAAAGGGATCCAGGGGCAGCCACAGCTTCTCTGGGCACCCTGTGCCAGGGCCTGCCCACCCTCCSAGGGAAGGATTTCCCTTCAATATCTGTCCCTGCTCTACTTCAGGTAAAAGCCATCATTAATATTATAACAATAGCAACAAGGGCAGAGAAGGAGCAGCTACAGGTTTTACTTTTGTTTCATCATTATAAGGTAGAACAAACACTTAGAATCTAAACAGCCAAAGACTTCACAGCAAAATGAGAATGGAGGCCCATTTCCAGAGCTTCCTGGCCTGAGTGCTCATCTGTACTTACCCACCAAGGGCTGCCGGACTCCTTCTGGAATGTGATCCCAGCAGCGAGGGAGGAAGGAAGGAAGGAAGGAAGGAAGGAAGGAAGGAGAGAAGAAGAATTACAAGGAGCTGGTCATTAAGGATATTAACAAATCATCAATTATTGCTTTGGGGTTAGATTCTTCTTGTCCCTTCAAATTCACAATCAGATCATGGGATGCATTCAAATCYTAAGTCATTCCCTCTGTTTCTTTTTCACTGAAGTCAAATGACTTCACTAGAGAGAACATACAGTCATCATTCAATAAACATGACACAGTAATTAATTAATTAATTAATTATAGCCACATTGCCCATATGCAAATAAATCCCCACAACAGACTCTTCTTTTTGGTTTCTTCAATCATGAAGTTAAAAGGTTTTTCTTAATAGGGCAATTTGATTTAGTATTATTTCTGCAAATAATTTCACCTATTGAAAATAATAGTGCTGTACCCTGCTTCTATTTCTTTTTTTGAAGTAAAGTTGCAGGTATCATTTTTCCTCCACAGCCATTCCAGGAAGCAGCTGGTTATGCTCAGCAATAATCACACAGACTRCTACTCACTGAAAACTTTGCCAAAAACTAACCCAAACCCCACTGAAAAAGCACAAAATGGAATATTCTCCACCCACAGAAACAAAAAGCCTCTTAGAGATTGGGTTACTTAGAATCTATTTGATCTTAACATTCATAGAACTTAAGAATGCTGTAAAAAGTAACTCAGGACTTGGAAAACAAAATTGACAAGTCCTTTTTTAGCTCATGAATTTTTCATATAATCAGCAAAATACACCCACAAAATATTAAAAAAAAGGAAACTTTAGGTCTATCCTATTGCCTCTTTGGACCTATAATAGCTGATGTAACAAGGCTCTGCACAGCATTCCAAAAAATCCTCCAGTTCTGATGCCTGTCATGTCTACTAGTGCAGTGAAATATATAAACACAGAGACAGTAAAAAAGGCTTCTGAAATCACCAAAGTCAAATGGCAACAAAAAMCAGAGTTACTATCAAGCTGCAGAGAAATGAGTCTGGCAGGTGCTGCACTGCCAGCAGAAAGGTCTGTGGAGGATCCCTGAGGCCAGGCAGAGAAGGGCTCCAGTGCAGCCCCTGTGCCAGGCCCCGATCCCCTGGCACTGGGAGCCTCTGCAGGTGCTGCTGGAGCTCACTGGAGCCTGGCAGGGCCTCCAGCCCTCACTGCAGGGTGCACGGGCACAGTGGGGAAAGTGTGAGCACAGCGGGGGCTGTGTGCTCCAGAGCAGAGCAGGGACTGTGTGCCCCAGAGCAGGGCA